AGGGTGGGAGGGTGGCTGGTTGACCTTGGATGGTGGGTGGCAGGCAGAGGCCAGGGCCAGATCCCCTCTTCAGCTGTTGGTGGATGTGAGAACCTCAGCGGGGAGAGGCCCCTGAGAGACATTCACACCCTCTCTTGGCCTCTAGGTCGGGCTTCACCCTACAGCAGGGCTACGGCCTCCTCTGCACCAGGAAAGGGGTCTGTGACCCAGCCTGGGGGTCCTTTATTGCACCCTTTCAGTGTGCCTCCTTGTGCCCCCCTGAGCCACTGCCCTCCTCTGGATTCAACCCCAGCCTGCACCCCACCTCTGGGATGCGGCACAATGCCCCTGCGGGGTGGGAGATACCAGAGACAGGGGAACCCTTGGCCAGGCCCTGTCCTCAGGGAGTTGATGGTTCTCCCACACGCACTCACAAGAACAGTCTGACCCAGCCCAAGACTGGAGGGCCACATCCTCATCCATGGTGGCCCAGAGTCGCTTAGCACCGAAGGTCTGGAGACAGTGAGAAATGAAAAAGGGGATATGACTGCAGAAGAGAGGTAGAAAATGCCCTGAACAGAAAGTCCTCTTAGGCAACAATAAGCTTGTTAATTTTGCTCCAAGTGAACCCTTGGTTCAGGGATAATGGGAACTGGAGGGGCCAAGGAGAGGTTTTTTTTGGAAAGGAAGGTTCAGAATCTCATAAAACGAAAAAAAAAACAAAAAAAAAAACCCAAACCAGCTGCCATCGAATCGACGCCTACTCATGGCGACCTCATGTGTCAGAGTAAAACTGAGCTCCATCGGTTTTCAATGGCTGGTTTTCAGAAGTAGATCATCAGGCCTTTCTTCTGAGGTGGTAGAACCTCCAACCTTTCAGTCAGCAACTGAGCATGTTAATCTTTGCGCCACCCAGGGACTCTCAGATCTCATAAACCCATTGCCCTCGAGTTGATTCCAACAAATAGTGACCCTATAGGGCAGAGTAGAACTGCCTCATAGAGTTTCCAAGGCTGTAATCTTTACAGAAGCAGACTGACACATCTTTTTCCTGTGGAGTGGCTGGTGGGTTCCAACTGACAACTTTTCAGTTAACAGCCAAGCAGTTTAACCACTGTGCCACCAGGGATCCTCCAGGATCTCATAGGCAGGACAAAAAGGTTTGGGTGTGCTTTGGGGCACTTGGGAGGAAGAGAAATTATAAAGTGGATGGGATTTAGATCTCCTATCCCCAGCCCTGTCGTCAGTCCCTCACACACACACCCTTCAGATAGATCTCCCACTTGCCTTTAGTACCCTGTCTCTCCTTTGCGTCCATCAAAACAAACTGCGCTCTCAGTAAAGAAAGTGATACTAGCCCTTTATACCGGACTATAAATGCAAGGCTCTGGACGGCCTCTGTCAGGGGTGGTTTCATTTTGAGCCTTACTAACAAGTTAATAGAAATAGTGTGTAGAGTCTGATTTGGTAGGTCCCATGTAGGCTTGGGCATGAGTATTTTAAGAAAGTCCTACAGGTGGTTCTGATCTGCACCCCTCCCTGCTGGAGGTGAAGAGCTGTTGACTCACGGGCTCGATGCCTGTGTGTGAGGAGGCAGTACAGACCCCAGGTAAGCTAAGCCTCGGTTGTTCTCAACGAGGACACCGTGGCATTCGGGAGAGGACAATTTTTCCTTGTGTAGCATCCTCCTTCCTCCACACACATGTTATGCAACCAGAAATACCCTCCCCTTGGGGCTGTGTTGTCCCCACTTGAGAACCTCTGCAAATAATGTGAGATTCACAACACAGTCCAAGAAAGAGACAAAAGAGATGCCCCAAGGCAGGATCTGTGCTCCCTCGAGAGGCCTCTAAGTGAACAAACAGGCGCTCTGCTCTGTGATGAGGGAGCACAGGGTGCTGGAGAGGACAATCTAACCCATCTATCCAGGGTGTGAAGTTCCCTACAGGAGGTGACATCTGAGCTGGTCTGACAGCAAAGAGTGGAAAGACATGCGTGGGGGCAGCAGCATGTATAAAAGCACAGAGGTGTGAGGGTGTGGGTGATTGGGGGAAAAGCGTGTGACTCTGAGATGGGGCTGGCAAGTTATTGTTGTGTGCTGTCGAGTCAATTCTCACTCATAGTGACCCTATATGACAGAGTAGAACTGCCCCATAGGATTTCCTAGGCTGTAATCTTTACAGGAGCAGATCACTAGGTCTTTTCTTCCACAGAACAGCTAGTAGGTTTGAACTGCCAACCTTTCAGTCAGCAGCCAAGTGCTTAACCATTGCACCACCAGAGCTCCTTGAGCGGCTGGCTAGGGGAATTGGGAAACTGGGTGTTAGGCTACGACGGGCCTTGAATGCTGGACTAAGGAATGCGGTCTTTGTCCTTGGGGCAGGGAGCCACTGGAGCTTGTTAAGATGGGGACTAACAAGGCCCAGCTTGGAGGTGGTGAAACCTGTCAGGCTGACTTGGAGGGCAGTGGTAGAGGAGGCTGGAAAAATCATTTGCAGATTTTTCAAGGGCCAGATGAGTGTATTTGCCCTGGATGCAGCAGGCAGGAGCCACTGATGGAGTTGGAGCACTGGATGGACAAGAGCAAAGTTGGCTTCAGGAAGATTAGACTCTCAGGGGTGGACTGGAGGAGTGTGTTCCTGGAGCACAGGCACCAGATTTTATTTTCTGCATGTTTGTATTCCTGGAACACGGTAAGCAGTCAATAAACATTTGTTGAATGAATGAATGAAGTCTTTAGAGTGAATGAGATTGGAGAGGTCACAACCCAGGAGGTGACTGGGCCTGGGCGGGGGCAAGGGAGTGCTGTGGTCAGGAGGCTTTAGGTGTCATGCTCTACCTGGCCACCTGCTTGGGATCCTTGGGGGTCCACAGAGGCTGGGCACTGAGCCCCATGTGGGCTGGCTTTGCAGGTCACGGATGGATCTGCCCGGCTCGCCCTCACGCCAGGCCTGCTCATCACAGCCGGCCCAGATGCTGTCAGTGGACACAGGCCATGCTGATCGGCAGGCCAGCGGCCGCATGGACGTGTCAGCCTCCGTTGAGCAAGAGGCCCTGAGTAACGCCTTCCGCTCAGTGCCACTGGCTGAGGAGGAGGACTTCGACAGCAAGGAGTGGGTCATCATTGACAAGGAGACAGAGCTCAAGGACTTCCCACCGGGGGCAGAGCCCAGCACATCCGGCACCACGGACGAGGAGCCCGAGGAGCTGCGGCCGCTGCCCGAGGAGGGCGAGGAGCGGCGTCGGCCGGTGGCCGAGTTGGCTGTCCGGCCCCGGGGACGCAGCATGCAGACACTGGCCGAGGAGGACCCACGGCACACGCCACTCCAGCCCCCGCTGCCCCAGCTGAGCCAGGCTGATGGCCGATTGGAGACATCGCAGCCCCCCACACCTGGCAGCCCTTCCCACTCACCCCTGCACTCAGGACCCCGCCCTCGAAGGAGAGAATCGGATCCCACGGGCCCACAGAGACAGGTAAGGCTGGGCTTGCACCCCACTCCCCACCCCAACGCCCGGGTCCTGGCCTCTAGGCCCGCAGTGCTCCCACCTGTGTGGGGACTCTAGACAAGCGACCCAACAATTGCAAGGTGTGATCAGGTAGACCAGCTTAAGAGTCTGAAACCATGCTTGGGGGCCCGACCAGGCTTCCCAGAGGAAGTGTCCTCCAAGTTCTGAGTTGAGTCTTGAATTAGGATAGTGCTAGCCAGGTGACAAAGAGGGAGAAAGGCATCCCAGGCCAGGGGACAGCGCGTGCAAAGGCCTGCAGGTGGCAAAGCACTGCACTGTGGCTGCAGCAGCGTGGCAGGAGAGGGGACTGCTGAGCTAAGTCAGGGCCCCATTGTGGAGGGCCTGGGGGCTAAGCTAAAGAGTTGAGGCTTGCTCTGCAGGCGTGGTGAGCCACTGAAGGCTTTAAACAGGGATGTGACATGATGACATTTGTATTTTTGAATGATCACTTGGACTGCTATGTGGAAGATGAATTGGAGGGGCACAAACTAGAAGCAGGAGGATCACTGGGCAGGCGGTGCCAGAGAGAGAAACATCCTGGTGGCCTGGACCAGGGTGGTGGCTGTGGAGGTGGGGCAGGGTGGGCTGAGTCCTGAGATGCTGGAGAGAGGACTGTGAGGGCTGGAATGGAGCAGAGGAGGGCCTCTGGGTGGACGGTGGTGCCATCGCTGAGCATTTGGAAGGGAGGACGGATTCCCATGTGGACACAGTACCTTGACATACCTGTGGGGTGTCCACAAGGAGGCTTCTGAGGCTCATGAGGGAGATCTCAGTGGGAGATACGGATTTGGGGGTCTTGGAAGCCACGGGAGTGGATGATGTCACCCAGAAGGACTGTGTGGGGTAAAGGCATAATCCAGGAGACACTCACATAAAAGGAAGGATGAGAGGAAAAGGAGGCCTTTGAAACACTGATGAAGAAGGAGAGCCAGTACCGGGAGACAGGAAGTCCCTGGAATCAGGGGAGGAGAGGGCTGAAGTGGTGGGAACGGTCGATGTTGTGGATGAGAGTTGAGCAGGAAGAGGCGGTAACGTCAGTTGGGGGCAGGCAGCCCAGCTGTTCCTGTGATCAGGACAAGCTCCATGGAGGAGGGAGACGGGGAGAATGGGGCCAGCAGGAGGGATTCTAGACTGGGCACAGGGGCAAGGTGTGTTGGTGTCCTAGGGGGCCAGCCTGCTGCAGTGGCACCTTCTCATATGGGAAGACTGAGGGACAAAGCGGAGAGGGCAGGGAGGGGCCAGATGGTGGGTCCGAAGCGTCTCTCATGGTATTTTGGTTCTTTTCTTCTGACAAGGACAGGGTGTCAGGATAGGCAGGCAGCCACTTGCCTGACCTGTCTTCTCTGTGTGGGCAGAGGCTGATCTCTGACCTGGGAAGTGGGTGCTAACTCTCACCCTGTGCACTGAATGGGGCTTGGGAGAGCCAAGGAAGTGATACTGGAAGGGACTTGGGACTGTGCCGTGCTCTACTAGATTGTCACATGGGGTGTGCACACCAGGTGGCTCTGGGAGGGGCCAAGGTGCAGGGCCAAGGTGTCTTGGGGAAGGGCAGCTCTGGGCAGGGGGTAAATTCAAGCCCCATCATGCTGCCTAGAAGAGAGGACCTCTTAGCCGTGATCCTGGGGAGTACACACCCTGGCCTTGCTCTGGACATTGGGCACCTTGGGGGCTCAAAAAGCGGGGATCATAAGCCCCCCACCGAGAGAGTGCTAACTGACCTGAGTTGGAGGCTCATCCCTGGTAGGGTGTGGCCTGGCATGACTGTGTTGCTGACCTAGACATTGTCCCACCAAGGTCAGCGCTGAGTAAGCAGGAGAAGGTGCAAGGTCTGTTTGGGGCCCCCTCGCTCCCCTCGCATTCATTCATTCATTCATTCCTTTAGTCATTAACACTTACGGAGCATCTATTATACACCAGGTACGAGGCATCAGAGATCATATGCACAATATGTCATGCCCACAGGAAGCACAGAGTCTAGCAAGGGAGACAGACAGTGGTGGTGTGGGCTGGAGAGAAAGTCAGGAGACCTGGGTTCTGGACCTGGCCTGCCGGTCCCTTCTGGGTGACTGGCCAGTCACTACCCCTCTCTGAATCTCAGCATGAGGGAGCCGAGCTCTCGCTGAGTTTTTTTTTTTCACTTTCGAATTCCTGCCTGTTACTTGGGGGCTGCCCTCACACTAGGGATGAGGAGAGATTTTGGGGGGAATAGATACAGGCCTATTTTACTTGATCTCATCGTCTCAGAAACAGATGAGTTGTGCGTATCTGCGGAGCTAGGGGTTCGTGGGCCTCGGTTTCCCTGCAGTGTACGGAAAGGTGGCTGGGTTAGCATTCTCCAACTGTGTGTGTGCATTTCCGTGTCAACTTAGCTCGAGCATGTGCATTGGCGTGTGGCTGTGTCCATATGTGTTCACATGTGTGTGAGCACACACGTCAGGGCGTCTGTGTGGAGTATGCAGTGGATCTGTGTGTGTGTACAGAACCACAGAATCCTAGGATGTCAAAGCTGGGAGGATAGCAACAATGATAGTGATCATTATAATCACAATGATAAGAGTTAGCACTTTATGGGACTTACTACATGCCAGGCACTGCTCTGAGCGCTTGTTGTATAGTCCTCACAACAGCACTATGAATGGGCAATTCCCATTTAAAAGGTAAGGAAACTGCGGCTCAAAGAAGCTAAGTTTCACCAGCCAGGACTCGAATCCATGTGTCTGGTTCCAGCGTCCGCCCTCTGATCCGCTCGGTCCAAAGCCTGTGTGTTTAGCAGAGGGAGTAAACACAGGCCAGGGAGAGCAGATGGGTTGTACAGGGTCAGACAGAGCCTGGGGTGGGCGTCTATGTGTGTCTCTAGGTGAACACATGGGCGCTTTGCCGAGTGTTTCAGGACATTGAGGTGAAGCAGAGACCTTCCTTGGTCATCGGTGAGGAGGAGGGAAATGGGCTGGCATATTTTTTTCCCTCTTTCTCTGGGCTGGCCTGCAGAAGGTCCTGCGCGCAGCCTGGAACAAAGTACAATCTGGCTGCACACTGGTACCACAGCTTGGGGAACGCTCCACACCCCCACCCATGGGAAGACCAGATTGTGTGGCCCAGGGCAGGCAGGAAGTCTCTGTGGGGAACCCCTCTAGCCCCCAGCCACCTTTCTGCAAGCCGTCCCCACCCTAGGCCTAACTGTCTGTTCAGGGTTTGATGTGTGAACTTTGTCATAACAGCAACCATTACAAACACGAGCACCAGCAACTCTGTCATCTACACTCGCAGGGAGCAGGATAATGTGGAACCAGGCACAACTTTAAAGCATCTGTTGTTCTTTGGTGTGCATGATGCAATACTTTATTTCTTCTTCACACACACACCTCACTTTATTCTCAAGGGAATTTAAGGCGAAAATGAGAAGAGGCTGAGAAAGCCAGGGCAGAGGTAAAGCCAGGTGCAGGGTGTGTGATTTGGGGGAGGGATGTTTGCCATCCTTTGCTGGTTGTCTCTGGTTGATAACATAGCAAGTCAGCATCCCCTGAGTACACAGATGGACATTTGCTTGGCAGCTGGCAAAGCATTTCCCTGCCACGTGCTGGGCAGTGTGCTGGAGGCTAGGGGACAAAGATGAATAAGTCTTCTCAGTCTGGGCCATGGGGAGATAAGAGAGAACTTTGTTATCATCTGCTCTGGGAGCAGGGAGCTTGCCTGGGGAGCTGGGTCGGTCTCATAGTGGTGATATTTCAGCAGGGTGTTGCGGACAAGTAGGTGGCCACAAGTGGTGCCTGGGCTGAAGGGCGGGAACTCGCCTGGGTTGAAGGGCAGGGGCATGCCAGGATTAAACAGAAGACTGGGAAAGTCCCCCTGGCAGCTACCCAAACTCTGGCTGGGATATTAACCTTAAGCCACCCACATCTGCTATGAGGGAGACTCTGGGTGCCTGTGTCCCTCAGGATATCCGGGTGGGCCTCAGTCTCCCTGACCCCTAACTCAGACAGAACCAGCTCAGAAGGACCCAGGGGATTGCAGGTGCTTGCCTTGGCCAAAAAGAAGCTGGAAGGGAAAGCAGAGTGGAGGCAAAGACAATCACGTTAGAATGTTCTCCTGCCCACTCCACTGGATGGTCCGCGTCAGGTCCCTTGTGCCCTTATCCGACATCAGCAAGAGGATGGTGAAGCTGAGTGTCCTGGGACCCCCAGCAGCTGGCCCAGCCAGTCCTCACTGCCCTACTAAGCCATTTAAACTGTCTCAGTCCCAGGAGGAGCTAAAGGCCAGAATGGGAAAGGTCTGTTCCAAGCCACCATTCCATCTCCACATGCCTGGGACGTTCAGTCCCACCTCCCTCTTTGCCTCTGAGGGAACGGGCGCATGAGGGCATAAGGGCAGATTCTTCCTGACAGCAGGGAGATTGCACCTCAGCCAAGCCCCTGCCACAGGCAGCCTCCTGGCTTAGCCTTCGAGAGGGCAGGAAAAAGCCAGTTTGGAGAAATGATTTCAATTTGCCCTTCCCGCGCCGGTCCTCTATCCCTTTCCTCATACTCCAGATCGATTTGAAGGGTAATAAAACAGCTAACATGTGCAAAGGAGCCCTGGCGGGGCAATACTTAAGCACCTGGCTGCTGACTGAAAGGCTGGCGTTTTGAAACCACCAGCAGCTTCACGGAAGAAGACCTGGGGATCTACTCCCGTAAAGGTTACATCTTAGAAAACCCTGTGAAGCAGTTCTGCCCTGTCACATGGGGTCGCTAAGAGTCAAAAATCGATTGGACAGCGCCTAACAACGACATGTGCACAGCATTTACTCCATGGCAGGCAGTATTCTAAGCACGCTGCATATGGTAACATCTAATCCTCACAACAACCCTATGAGGTGGGTACCATGATTACACCCATTTTATAGATAAGGAAGCTGAGGCACAGACCAAAAAAACCAATCCCATTGCCGTTGAGTTGATTCTAACTCTTAGTGACCCTACAAGACAGAG